GGATGGCTTCCTCAGCTTCTCTCCAACTCAAATACCGAGGCAGGGTCTCTCACTTAAACCCAGAATTCACCAGTTGGGCTAATTTAGCTAGTCAGATTATTCCAGGATTCAGTCTCATAGCTGTCTTGTTCTGGGCTCTTACAGTCTGGCCTCCATGCCTACCATGTGCTTACATCAGTGCTGTGGGTGAAGTTTGCTCTTCTGAGCTTCTAGCTTATCAAGCAAGTGCTTTACCCGTATATTTAAAAAAATTATTTATGTATACCAGTACTCTATTCGCATTATGCCTGCATGACAGAAGAGGGCATCAGGCAGAAGAGGCCATCAGATCCCATTGTAGTTGGCTGTGAGCCACCATGTGGGTGCTAGGAATTGAACTCAGGCCCTCTGGAAGAGCAGCCAGTGAGTAGTCTTAGTACTGAGCCATCTCTCCAGTCCCCATCCTTTCTTTCCTTTTTTTTTTTTTTTTGTTTGAGACAGGGTCTCTCACTAGCTTGAGACTCATTAACAGGTTACCCTTGCTGGACAGTGAGCTCTATGGATCCTTGTAGTGACTGAAACCATGGTCGATTTTACTTCAGAGATGAAGGTTTATAGCCTTCATTGAAATCACATAGTCTTTTCTCATGGTCTTAAGATAGCTGGACTGCTGTGACTCCATGCATCACATCCTCACCCAAGAGCCCCCCAAAGAGAATGAGTAAAAGGGGGAAAAGGGCTTTTTACCAGCTGGGCTCAACCCTAGAAGTTTTGTTCAAGTTGAAGAAAAAGAAGAAAGAAACCCTTGATCTCAACTCAATCTTATTTTTGTACCCCTTTGCCCCTGGAACAGCAAAGAGGTATGGAAAGAGTGCTGACACAGGACCCGGGTGTCAGTGGGTGAGGAAGGCTCCCCATTGTCTCCCTTACCCCTCACCCAGAAGGCCCTAAAGGTCACTGGTCTTTCTGGCCACATGGGTGAAGTATCTCCCAGGTGACCAGAGAGAATATTTTGAGGCAGCTGTGTTTCACAAGCCTGCCACCTCAGTGTCTTGACACTTTAAGTTACTTGAGATAGACAGTAGGTCGGTGCTTGACCGCTCCAGGCTGCTCTATGCAGTAAGAGCTCATGACTGCAGCTGTGCCTTAGAACTCTGCCTCAATGGGATAAACTCCACCACTGTGTGGAGGAGAGGCATTCACTCTTTATGCCTTGTCACTCTTTAGGCCTGAAAGTTGAATATGTAGTTCAGAAGGGTGGGGGCAGTAAGGTCTTTAGACATAGGAACAAATCATGCGTGTGACATTGCCAGTGACCTGGAGTGGTTAGAGGACAGAGGAGGGGCAGAGGAGAGACTGGGGGAGGGGACAGCAAACACCATGTGTCCCATGAGTTGAGGCAGAGCCTTCCTGGGGGGAACTGAGTGTAGGACATTGTAGCTGACCAAGAAGGGTTTCCCAAAGTCCTTGGCCTGGATCTAGCACAGAGCCAATGTCCATGCTGCACTTGGAGCACTGGTGTTTGTACAGTATCCTTGTGCTCATGCCTCCTGTGATATTGACAAAGTTCATCTATCATCCTGCTGGACATAACATAAGGAAGACTTCCCAGGCAAGCATGGAAAGTATACCCACAGGCAATTCAAGAAGGGAATGTAGAAATACAAGGAGGCCCAGAGTTGGAGAAAAGAGCAGGACGCATGAATGCCTTTCTATGGCAACAAAGACGTTCCACTCAGTCCAGAATGTTAGATATGTGGTTCATCTCACCCACTCAGTGGTCTGCCTGAGCTCTCAGCTGGGGTCCCATCTTCCTTGGAATTTCTGGTCCATGAGAATGAAATGGAGGAAGAAACAAAGATGCTGAGGAACAAGGAAGTTGACTTGTGCACCCATGGAAGACACAGAGGCAGAAATAAGGACTGCCAGAGACTGGGACACCAATGGAATTGCTTGATGACATGCCATGTCAATAGTTTATCTGAATGATTGGGAATGTCACCTTGTGATCACTAAGACACCTCCGAGAGACTGCCTTGACTGATGACCCAACCAGAGAGTCCTTGTCAAACCTCTGCTCCAGACCTGTGGCACTTGGGGACTGGTTATGTTCTCAGCGGGACCAAGTCATCTCTTTTACTATTTCAGCTGAAGAAATGAAACCACCAAAAATAAGGAAACAAGGAAAGCACAAATCAGACCTAAAAGCTCGCCTCTCCTCCAGAGCATGACATCTGAAAGATGGGGGGGGGGTCGTTGGCCAGACCAAACAATGGGCTGAAATCATTGTATTTCCTTTCTTGAAAAACATCCAAAGAAAACGGGGATGGGAGAGAGAGAAGCAATAAATAAAGGGAAGGGGAAAGAAGACAAGGAGGGCAGATGTAGTAGCTTTCCACTCACCAAGTCTGACAACCTGTTTGATCCCCAGGACCTACATGGCAGAGGAGAGAACCAACTTCTTCAAGCTGTCCTGTGGCCTCCACATGCACACCACGGCATGCACTCGTGTGTACTGCACATGCATGCACTCACACACAGATAGGCACATAAAAAGAATGGAAACCAATTTGACATAGCCAAGAGGCTCTGGTTAGATGGCACAGTGGATACGAAGATTATTTATCATGGCTACCGATTTGTTGCCTGCTCCCCGTTTTGCTAGAAGTACCCACGTTTTAAAAATCGGAAAGTCAGGTTCTGATTTACACAGCTCTACTCTTTCTGCAAAGCTATTTGATAGAGGGCACCAGAAGACCTAAAACTGCTCATTTCAAACTCAGTAAATCCATGCCAGGACATGCAAATGGAGATTTCTATACACAGATTTTTTTTTCCTGTTGCTTTGAGTATGGGGACAACACATTCATCTCACCCTGGGGAATGGAGTGTGCTGAATTAATGCCCCAAATTAGCAAAGGAGCCACCTTAGTGCCGACTTCCTTGAGAGTGCTGTACCTGCTCAGCTACAAGTTGCTAAGTATCTGGGACACAGTTGCAATTTCCTCAATGACCACTTCGCGCTGCTCTGACTTGGATCCTCACTGGAAACCACATCTTCCCCTGTGACTAAGTCTGCACACAACATATAACCCCCAGAAACAGCTGACCTGACAAGGGGTAGCTCTTGAATCCCAGACTGATGGCTGGGAATCCAGCATGGGACTGATCAAGAACCCCTGAATGTGGGTGTCAGTGAGGAGGCCTAGACAATCTATGGGGCCTTGGGTAGTAGATCAGTGTTTATCCCTGGCATACAAATGGATTTTGGATGTCCATCCCACAATGAGAGATGCACTCTCACCCTGGACTCTTGGGGGAGGGTCTAGGCCCTGCCCTGGATGAAATGACAGACTATAGACACCCCCATGGAGGGCCTCATCCTCCCTGGGGAAATGAGGGGATATTTGGGGGGATTGGTGGGAGGGCACGGAAGGGAGGGAAAGGGTGAGGGACCTGGCATTGACATGTGAAGCAACCTTGTTTCTAATTTAAATTTAAAAATAAAAAAGGGCAAAAATAAAAAAGAAATTTAACTATTAAAAAAAAGTAAGTAGGTTATGCCTTGAGACAGTGGAGAGCTGCAGAAGATCACTTCTTCATGGAGAAGGGCCCCTGGCTCAGCACTCCCCACCAGCGTGCCAAGCTGAAATCCCTCTGAAAATACTCCAGTGTCACAGGGCACCTGCATCAACAGGTGCGGTTGTCTCTGCCATCATCGAATGCTGGAACAGGTCGGGGATGTCCTGTGGTGTGTGGGTTCCTGTGGCATACTAGATACTACATATTCTGAATAAAACATGGCCTTGGTGACCTCTGTGTTTTGATCACTTGGATGGGAGTGTGGCAGGAGATTCACTTGCCCTGTCCCCCATCTATGAGTTGACTAGTTTCTGATGAATGGCCCTTAAAAACCCAAGGGTGGAACTCTCTCTCTGAACTGAGGCCACAGGGAGTAAAGGAGTCTTCCAAATAGAACAATGTCTTCAACTTTCACAAGTAGAACAAAACAACACTTTTTGGTAGAGATGGGTTGCCCAGCTGGCATTATTGTCCACTGCTCTTGGACTTAATGTTTAATAGTTAATATTATGCTCAAAATAAACTATATATTCACTATATCCATTATGAATAGTATGTCAAATGATTACTTTGGTCATATTTTTTTTTAATCAGGGAACCTTTCCTCTTTGTGGCTCTAGGAATCAAACTCAAAGCTTCTCGGATACTAGGCAAATGTTCCCCTACTGAGGTACACCTCCAAGTCAATGCTTTTGTTTTTAAAATCATTTAAAATAGTATGTGTGTTCACCGTTTCTTTCATTTAAAGATATTTGTCCTTTCTTTTTAAAAATTATTTATTATGTATAGTATTCTGCCTGTATGTTTGCCTATAAACCAAAAGAGGGCACAGATATCATTACGGATGCTTGGGAGCCACCATTTGGTTGCTGGGAATTGAACTCAGGACCTCTGAAAGAGCAGCCTGTGCTCTTAACCTCAGAACCATGTCCTCAATCCCAAAATGTCCATTTTTATCTTGCATTTCAAAGTTAAAAGGTAATTGCTGGGGAGATGGCTCAGTTGTCACCTGCTTGCTGCAAAAGCATGAGAAATTGAGTTCAAATCCCCAGCACTGTCGTGAAAAGGAGAAATCCGGGGGCACCTGCAATCTTCAGTGTTGAGGCAGTGTACACAGGAAGGTGCCTGGGGCTCACTAGCCAGCTAGTCCAGCCAGTTGGCAAGATCCTGGTTAAGTGAGAGACCCTGCCTCAAAAAAATAACGTGGAGAGTAAACGGCGAAGACCAACAGAGGCCAACTTCTGGCCTCCGTGTGCGTATGCATACACATACACACTAGCTCCCACCCCCACTCACAAAGGCCTCCAAATGTCTCAGCAATGCTAATATCCAAGCCAAAAACCTGAACGAGGACAGCGCATGCTAAATGACCAGCGTGGGAGTTACTTAGTCCCAGCCTAAAGGGACTTGGTCTCCAACAACAACAACCAAACAGCCACTCCAGAATGAAAATACTGGTGTATTTATGTAATGCAAAGAGAAGTACAGATAGAAATCTTCAAAACACAAGTTACGTTAATAAAAACATAGCAGTTTAAGCCAAAAGTATTATACAGTACTTGCAATGTAGTCCTTCAGTTCCAAATGACAGTGTCTAACAAAGAGACAGTATTTTAAATTATAGTTCTTTTTAATCATTCAAATCTGCAATCAATAGAACAGCACCACCTAACTCAGCAAACACCTCAGGAAAAGGTTTTGTCTCCTGGGAGAGGCACCATTACATCTGATTTCTTTTTAGCATGGACAAAAGTCTTCAGAGTGAAAATCAGCTTCATAAGACAAAGTAAGACTGGGCTTATCAAAGCACAAGCCGATTCCACAAAAGTATTTTAACTTTTTACTGGGGACAAAAAAAAGCAAAAACAAAAAAAAAATAAAAATAAAAAACAACAACAAACCCAAACCCCAAACCCAAACCAACCGGTGGTTCTTTGCCCTCAAGAGCCCTCCCCGTCTGAAAATCACGATCAGTACAAACACATGCAATACTGTTTTTTTTTCTCTCCACATTACTATCCAAAACACTTTTTACTGTTTAAAAGTCACAGTCTCACAGAAAGATTTCGTTCAAGATTGATATACAGAGCAGCTGTTGCTGATGCGTAGTTTTTAAATAATATAAACAGGGCTCCAAACCTTGCTTGTTAACTGACTCAAACGTGACTGCCTTCCTACCCATTCCCATTTCCTCTTAAAGTTCAGTGTCACCGCTGGGAAAAGTTCCCCACACTTCCAACGAAGGCACACAGCACACCTCATCCTGTGGCCTGCGATTAAGAGGGGACTTTTGACAATTCCGTGTCTTTCTTCCATCTCCAATAGAAGATCCCCTAGCTCTCTCTCCTTCACTGCAATGCAAAGGTAATGCCACTTGAGGCGGTCAAAAATAGCTTCTGTAGAAAACTGGCCATGTTCTCTAGGAAACTTTGCATGAATAAAACCAGTGTAGCCTTTATTTAAAAAAAAAAATCACACGTGGGAGAAAAGAAGTCGGTACCAGTACACAAAAGACTGCAGGGCCTACCGCCAGGAAGAAAGTATAATTAGAAGGACTGAACTGGACCACGGCATCCCCTCCCCCCCGCCCCCAGCACAGAAGTCTGTACAATCCAAGTGCGTGTGTCCACTTTGAGAGTCTTGTGAAGGCAGCGGAGAAAAACCAGACACGGGGCAGAAGGGGAAGAAGCGCTGTCACAATCGAAGCCAGAGGGAGCCTGGGTGGCAGAGCGCGCCTCACAAACCAATGCCTTTCAGGTCGCAGGGGAGGGTGGCCTGCGTAGCCTGGGGGCTCTGGCAGCAGGGAAACTGGGCTCTGAAACAGTCCCTCAGCTCCCGGTTGAATAGGAAGCACACCACGGGGTTGATGCCAGCCTGCGCGAATGTCAGCCACACCGAGGCTGTCAGGTAGGCCTGAGGGACAGCGCCCGGCTGCACCAGGACTCGCAGGTAACTAGCCACCACATAGGGCCCCCAGAGGAGCAGGAAGAGCAGCGTGATGGCGTAGAACATCTTGCACAGCCTCTTCTCCGTCTTGAACTCCTCCAGCACCAGGAGGCGCCGGGCGCCGCGGCCCGGGCCCGCAGGCCTGATGCCCACCAGCGCGGGTGGCGTGGGCCCGCGGCCGAAGCCCGCCGTCCAGTTGGCAGCCGCCTGGCCCGTGGCTCCCGGGCCGTGGAAGGTCCAGTCGTGGCTGACGGCGGGCACCAGGCGCGCGGGCCGCATCTTGCGGCGATCGTGGATGAAGAAGAGCAGGCGGAGGTAGACGAGGTGCGTGGCGCCCACCACTGCGGCCAGCAGCAGCAGGAAGCCTAGCGCGCCCGGGGCGCCGTCGGGCCGCTGCTCCAGGGCACACGGCGCGTCCTCGTCGTCCGCGCCACCGCCGTCCAGCACCGGCGGGAAGGCCGCGGCCAAAGCCAGCGCCCAGGCGGCGCACACCAACATCGCGGCGCACGGCCAGCCGGCCAGGCGCTCGGCGTAGAAGCGGTGGTGCGCGATGGCCAGGTAGCGGGTGACGCCCACGCCGAGGAGCAGGAAGGCCGCGTGGAAGCAGAAGAGCGCGGCTAGGAAGGCCAGCAGCTTGCAGCCCAGCGCGCCCGGTGGCGTCCCCGCCGCGGCAGCCGCGCGCCGCGCTGCCAGCATGACGGCCGGGAGGCAGGCGAGCGCGCGCAGCCCGTCGGCCAGGCACAGGTCGAGCAGCAGGTAGTAAGGCGCGCGGTGCAGGCTGCGCTCCCGCACGATGAGCAGCGCGAACAGCACGTTGCCCGCCAGGCTCACGCACAGCAGCAGGCTGAGCGTGGCCAGCCTGAGGCCCAGCGCGGCCGCCTCGGCCCCGCCGCCGCCGCCGCCCGGCTCACTAGCGTTCGCCATCGCGGCCGCGCTCCTCCCCGCCGGCCCTCGCCGCTCGCCGTAGGCCGCCCCGGGCCTGCGCTCCGCCGCCTGAGCTCCCCGGGCCCGCGGGGCTGTCAGCCTGCGCCCGGCCGGCCCTGCCCCGGGGGCTCCGCGCGCCTCGGCCGCGCCGCCGCCATCTCAGCCGCGGTGCGCGCAGGAGGCGACGGCCACTCCCTGCGCCCTGGGCGCGGCGGGCTTCACTGCAGCCAGGCCCGCAGCCCCCCGCATGCTCCGCGTCCTCCTCTCGGTCCTCTTCCGCCGCCGCGCCTCTTGGCTCTGCCCCCCGCCGGGCCCGCCGCCGCTGCCTCCTTCGCCACCGCCTTCGCTGCCGCCGCCGCCGCCGCCGCCGCCGAGCCCCCTCCCCTCCGCCGGAGCGCGCAGCGTGGCCGCCGCCGCCAGTCCCGCCGAGGCATCCCGCGCCGCACCGGGCCTGGCTGGGCTGGGGGCGCCGTTGCAACAGCCGGGAGGGGAGGCAGGGCCCAGGACGCGAGGTGGCGACAAGTCGCGTTTGGCCCCAGGTAAACGGGGGTCCGGCGGAGGTGGCGTCAGGCGCCAGCGCTGGGGTCACTGTGGCCGGGAGCTGGGGACACGGTGGCCTGGGGTGGCAGGGTCTGGGGAGGCCTGGGGGAAGAGGAGGCAGGGATGTCTGGGATGAACCTTCTGTTGGAAAGCTGGTAATTATGGGCAGTAACATAACGGGATAATCACAGAACACCAGTATCCAGGTGAAGCCTGATGTGGGCGGCAGCCCGCTGGGGACGAGCATCCCCTGCCACCCCCACCCCCCAACAACAACTGCAAAGTTGCTCGTGTTCCAAAACCCATCAGGTACCCCAGGCAGCCTAGGTTTAGAGGGCAAGGGAGTCTAGAGCCAGGAAGTGGCCCAGCTGGATTCTCAATTTCACTTAGGACTGGACTTTGAGGGATCCTCAAGCATGCTTTCTTTCTAACTCTTAAGTGGAACCTTAGCCAAACGTGTACCACATAAAGAAACAAGGCGTTTTCCTTAAGTGATGCCTGACTTTCCTGGGCTATCCATTTCCTGGGTTAGTATGACATGACCAGTCACATGTTTTGGTCCTTAAACACCTTTGATCCTGCTGGGCCCACTGTCTGCACCAGCTTCACAAGCAGGCTCCTATTTCTAAGGCTTTTGGAGCAGCCTGGCTACCTTTCTGTCACTGGCTTCTGTTCATTTGCTTCCTGGCAGTTAACTGTTTCCCATCATCATGTTTTTATTTCTTCTCAAAATCCTGTCCATCTAACTAGTCCCTAAATATTGTGCGCTCGAGTGCACGTGTGTGTGTGTGTGTGTGTGTGTGTGTGTGTGTGTGTGTGTGTGTGTGTGTGTGTGTAAGCAGGGTTATTCTGTCAGCAGGGTTTAAGAGTGGTCTCAGCACCCAGAAAACTGAATCAGAATCAGGAGGATGGCAAATTGAAAGTCAGTGTGGACAATATGACAAGTCAGAGCCAGAGAGCAGAGCCTGAAAGTTAAGTCCAGAGCCCCAAACCGTGCATTTGGAAATCACTGGGTTCCCCTGACTCATAGTATCCAGAATGGGCCTAGATAGTGACGCCAGTATTGGCTGTTGGCCCCACTGTGAGTGGCAAGACCTTTGAATAAAGTTTGGAAATTTTTGCAAAAATCTAAAGGGAATCTTTCTTGGTGCTCATAAGTGGTCAAGGGGTAGTGGCTGGGTAGGCAGTCCTATAAATACATGTGACAGAAAAAGAGCAGTGTGTTAGGGGGATGCGGTGGTTAGGAACTGTGCTGTGATCATGATAGCAGAGATAAGTCTGGAGGTGAGTGACCGCTGGTATTGGTTATTGGCCCAGAGACCTTGAGTCTGTCAAAGTATTTCCTCACCCTTAGGCTCTCAATGGGACACAGATATCCCAGGCAGAGACAGAAAGAGGAGAGAAGTCCAAGTGTTAGGATCTCAATGGGACACAGATATCCCAGGCAGAGACAGAAAGAGGGGAGAAGTCCAAGTGTTAGGATCTCAATGGGACACGGATATCCCAGGCAGAGACAGAAAGAGGGGAGAAGTCCAAGTGTTAGGATCTCAATGGGACACGGATATCCCAGGCAGAGACAGAAAGAGGGGAGAAGTCCAAGTGTTAGGATCTCAAAGGGACACAGATATCCCAGGCAGAGACAGAAAGAGGGGAGAAGTCCAAGTGTTAGGATCTCAATGGGACACAGATATCCCAGGCAGAGACAGAAAGAGGGGAGAAGTCCAAGTGTTAGGATCTCAGTGGGACACGGATGTCCCAGGCAGAGACAGAAAGAGGGGAGAAGTCCACGTGTTCCTGGCGTGTGGGTTGGCCGCCTTTGAGTAGCTTGCTAGACCTACACCATACCAAGCACAATGTGATGGACTCCCACTCACCGTGACAATGGGAAAGGGTTCTTTTTCTTTGTTTCAAAGCCAGATGCATAGCTCTAACAATGAGATCTTGGCACCACGTGGGTCCTACTTGCCCAGAGAAGGAAATTCCTTACAGTCCATGAAGACACCATCAGTGGGTTCTTTGGGTTGATATTAAAGGCAGCTTCCATATACTGAGCACCCAGATTCCAAACTGTTAAATAACTGTTATTTGATGTCATAGCCATGGCCATGTGTAGTAGGTATGCTTACAATCTCCAGTTTGCAGATGAAGTGGGCACATGTGGAGTGTACATGTTCATGTGTTATATGTGTGTGTGTGTGTGAGAGAGAGACAGACAGAGAGAGAGAGAGAGAGAGAGAGAGAGAGAGAGAGAGAGAGAGAGAGAACAACCTAAAGTAGCATTCCTCAGGCACCATCCACCACTCTCCCACCAGCTTGGAGCTTGCCTAATAGACTGGGCTGCCAGGCTAGCTGGCCCCAAAGATCTATCTGTCTCTGCCTCTGGGTTTACAAACAAATTTCGCCATACCTGGCTATTTTATATTAGCATGGGTCCTAAGTATCAAACTCAGGTCCTTCTGCAAGGCAAGTACTTTATTAACAGCCATCTCTCCAGCCCCAAACTCTAACTCTTGAGATGAAAAAGTGATTGAGTTTATAAAGACAAGCCACAGTAAGCAGCAGGTGCTCAGGACAGAAGAATGATAGCCCCTTCAAGGGGAGAAGGACTTTTCAAAACCAGCTAACCCAACACAGACTCATCCATGGCTGAATGACAAGTAGGGCCCAGGTCCTCTCACTTCAGACCAGACCCTGCCCCACTGAGTCGGAATATTGATAGCATTTGTTGTTATGAATATAAATCACTCAACAAGTCATTTAACCTCTTGAAATCTAGAATGTTCACATTTATAAAATGGGATATTGATTTCCTAGGGTCTCCGAGTCTGCAGTTTAGTTTGAATGTGAGAAAAAAAGTGGAGTTTAAATGGGTTTGTTTCCCAAATGAAGAGAGCTAAACTTCAGAGAAGGCAAGGAAAAGGAATCCATAGTTCCCTTGTGATGTGAGATATATATAATATAGTATATATATATATATTATATAAAAATATTTTTCTATTTTTTCCTACTGCCTATTTATTCTGATGCACTCTCCTTGGGACCTGAGGTTTGCTGTAATCATTTCCCCAGAATCAAATAAGATCAGCAGCAGTAGGACATGTAAATCATTACTGTGGTAGCATTCATTTGTCTACAGCTTTCCTTCTCAGCATCTGTTCAATAGATTAATACTTAAGGAAAAGCCATTAACATTTCATCGGCCAGGATCAACTTGTATTCTTTTTACTTCAGGCAAGGCTTTTAAATATTTTCTTAGGCACCAAGTTGTATGTCTCTTTTTAAAGGTAGATGAGATTTTTTTCCAGTAACATTTTCCATTTTGTTTGTAATTCTTTTCTTTTGCATATAGATGGAAGAGTTGGAAAACCCCCTCCATTAGTTATGCCACCTCTTTGATACACGTGGTGTGACTGGTAATATTAACCAGCTTACTCAGAGTGACTAGTTGGCACACTTTGACTCATGCAGCTGTGGTCATGGGTCCTGTCATTGTGGAAGCCATTTTGGTCTCTGCCTCAGGTTTCTGTCTGGTCATTTGCCTGTGGGTACAGGGAATGCCAAGTTGGAAAAGATTGCATTGACAGCCCCATCTTGACTCTTAGAAGTAGTGAGGCAGAGTCTGGACCCATTGGATATTGGGTCATCAGGTCATAGCACTGGGCTGTTCTGTGGCAGTCAGCCATACCTTCAAGAATGCGAATGGATTTTGGAATTAGACATACCCTGGCTCACACCCAAATCAATCATTGTCTATGTACCCCTGAGAAAGTTCTTTTACCCTGAGCCTCTGAACCTCTGAATCTCAACAGCCTGTTGTAAGGAAGAGTCAGTTAAATAAGATCTGCTAGTAGAAAACAAGGCACAAGGTGTGTACGTGGGTGGTGTTTAATTAGTAATCGCTGAAGATGATGACTGGGGACAGGTGTGTCAGGTGCCTCCTCTGCTCAGATGCTCCTACTTCAGTCCAGCAAAGAAAGACCGAAGACAAGAACAGTTTGGTCCAGCTGACCAAGTACCAGATAAGACAGCCTGCATGCATGCACACACTAGCTTATGTTTGTAATGCAAATATTGAAAACATACTGTGTGCCAAGGTGTTTTGAGTTTGTGCTACAGTTAGTTAGGGTGCCAGTCAGGCAATGTCACATGACCACATACAGTGGTCACTGGTTTCATGCCTTGTTCTTTGCAAATTTGTAGAGACAAAGTTAGTTGGGGAGGGGATTGGAGCAGGGCTGGGCATGGCTATAGCATTTGTTCAAAGAATGATAGAAATTTCCTGAACTAGGTAATGTGAATAGTTGTACAATACTGTGAATGGCCCAAGAAAACAGAATTGCAAATAATACAAAATAAAACCCAATTTGTATTAAAGTAAAACCAGCACTATGGCCTTATTAAAGGATGGATAGTTGTCCAGAAGTGAAACATACTTCTGCTCATAGTTTTTTGAATGAATGTCAATCTAACTTCTGGGAATGGCCAC